GGGGGGGCGGCCCCCCCCGGGGGGGGGGGGGGGGGGAGGCCCAGGGCCCTGGCCAGCAAGCCCGAGCAGGCTGGAGCGAGCACCCCTGGGGAAGCTGCAGTCTGTCCTGCCCCAGGCCCTGCTCTAGACAGACTTTATGGGATGCTCTTACTATTTTACTAATCATCTCTAATTACAGGTAATTTGCTTTTCCTGCATTGATCTGATTAGCTTATAATGTGCCACATCAACAAAGCACCCTGCAATTTAGGTGCCAGTGCTGAGTGATGGTGAAAACAAGCGAGTCCCACCCACATGGCTGCGGGGGAAGGCAGGGCTCGGCAGGGTCGCACAGGTTGGATGTGGTCGGGACTAGCCCCTGCCAGCCAGCCCAGCTCTGGGGGGAAGTTGCCTTGGGCAAGTTGAATGTTTTATATAGAGTGTGTTTGTGGGGTGTGATACGCTAGGGTGCCTGAGTTCATATCTCGTCCTGCCACTTACTAGCCATATGAACTTGGACAAATGATTTAAGCCCCTTGAGGCCCCAAACCCTCATCTTCACAATGGGGACAACAGGAGTGCTGGCTTGCTAGAGTGGTTGTAAGGATTAGCTCATTAGTACGCATCAAGCTGTTAGAATAAGACCTGGCACATAGTGCTAATCAATATTATTTTTATTGTTATTACTGTAAGTATTTGATGATGTCTCATTCAGTGGCTCCTGCCAATGAAATGTCCCGAAGCACAAAGCTTCCTTTCCTTAGAACAGCGGTTCTCAACCTGTGGGTCGCGACCCCTTTGGCGGTCGAACGACCCTTTCACAGGGGTCGCCTAAGACCATCCTGCATATCAGATATTTACATTACGATTCATAACAGTAGCAACATGACAGTTATGAAGTAGCAACGAAAATAATTTTATGGCTGGGTCACAACATGAGGAACTGTATTTAAAGGGCCAGAAGGTTGAGAACCACTGCCCTAGGACCGGGATGTGTGGCACTGGGTGTTGTGTCGGCCCACGGAAGGCCAGCGTTATGACCACTCGGGACGAAGAGGGAGTGAGCCGATCTTTGTCTGTCAGGGTGCACGTGGCTGGGACCGTGTGGATAATGACAGCCCACATCCAAGAGAGTTCCCAGGACAAGGCCCCAGGCTTTTCTCTGCTTAAGGATCCTCACCTGGGAGCCAGTTAACGATGCAGCGTCCTGGGGAATGGGGACCCATGGCAGGTCCGGCCTGAGGTTGAGCAGGGTTGCAGGCCTGAAGGGCCACCCTTAGTAACCTCCTAAGCCAATGGCACCTTCAATGCACCAGGCATCTTACAATAGCCGCCTCCCCCGTAATAACCGATTCTCCCTCATTATCATGTACTAAGAGGCTTCCAGAAAATTCCATCAAGAAAAACACAGATTGATGCCTTAGCCGGTTTGACTCAGGGATAGAGCGTCAGCCCATGGACTGAAGGGTCCTGTTCGATTCTGGTCAAGGGCACGTACCTCGGTTGCAGCCTTGATCCCCGACCCTGGTCGGGGTGCATGCGGGAGGCAGTATTTCGATGTGTCTCTCTCACATTGATGTTTCTCTCTCTCTCTCTCTCTCTCTCTGTCTCTCCCCTTCCCTTCCACTTTCTCTAAAAATCAATGGAAAAAATATCATCAGGTGAGGATTAACCAAAAAAAAAATAAATAAATAAAAAGAAGCCCTCTCTATCATCCCTTCCCCCCCACCTGCTTTCCTTTGGGAAGTAGGGGTTGGCAGGAAGTTGTACCCCAAAGACTCCAAACTTCCCTGAGATTTCACTTACCTCCATATTTCCAGAAAGGGTCTGGGGCCATGACCTCAGGCAGGGGTGAGGCTGTAAAATCCAACGGGCTGGGGTTCAGAGAGATGAGAATGAATAATGATAACAATGACCACCTCTCAGGCACCTCCCCCTCCCAGAAACTGGGCTAAACCTTGGACATAGTCATTGACTCCTCCCGGCCGCCCTGTGCGGTGTGATGAGGAGGGAGGCTCAGAGAGGCGGAGTGACTTGCTTCAGGTCACACAGCAGGTACAGCGGCAGAGGGCGGACAGCTCACAGCCCATCAGTCACCTCTGAAGTCAGCGCTCCTTCCGCGCCCCTGGCTGTCTGGTCGAAGGGAGGATGCAGGCCGTAACTGGGATATGAAACGAGAATTATAAAATAAAACAATGAAACAGGTTTTCCTGAGTGGACTAAGGAACACACATCGCTGTGTTCACAGAGGTCAAAACAACGCAAGGTTCCCTACGGGGGCAGTGAGCCCGTGGCTGGGGGTCGGGGAAGGCTTCTTGGGAGACCTGGGCCCTTGAGTGTGGATGGGATCTGGGGAGCAGAGGGAAGCCCAGCAGCCGCAGGTTCCCGTCCCCTGGGGCCGGGGTTGGGCACTTGGGCCGGCCTTGGCTAGACGTGCTGGGTGGTGACTGGAGAGTAGGCCTAACCCTCTCTGTGCCCTAGGAGTGGATTTTCGGGTCAAAAACCTGCTGGTGGACAACAAGTACTATGCGCTGCAGCTCTGGGACACGGCTGGCCAGGAGAGGTAGGGCCCTGTCTCCACGGAGACCTGCGCGGAGCCTGGGTGCCGGGTGGAGGCAGCCCCGCCCAGAGGAGGCCAAGGTGGGCAAGAGGCCGCCCAGTGCAAAAGAGACATCACCCCTGGGGGAGTCAGGAGGTCGGGGAGGAGAGCAAAGGCCCAGTGGAGAAGACGGGGTGGCCCAGCGGCCCCTGGGCCTGGCCAGGCTTCTGTGAGGATCCCCCCAGCTCGGCCCTCAGGGCCAGCGCCTGACCACTATCCTGCAAACACTGGCCGTCCACTTGCCGGTTGGGCCACAGTGATCAGACTTTAAAGCACTTCTCTCTGCCCAGCGGTTTCACGTCTGGAAACTCATGCTTCCGGTAACTCACATGATGGTATCAAAGGGACCGAGCCTGATCGCAGCAGCGTTTATATTGCAAAGCACTGGACACAACCCAAATGCCATGGGTGGTGGCCAGCAAGACAGGCTGGGGTCTATCCACACGATAGAATATTGTGAAGCCACAGAAAGACTCAGGGCCCTCACTGTGGCCAAAAGGGAAACACCTCCAAGCCTTCTCTTGACTAGAAAAACCAGGCAGGGTTCTGAATATGAGTGAGTATGTGAGTGTTTCACACTGTACCATGTTAACAAGGGCAAAGGGCAGGGTTCCGAATATGAGTGAGTATGTGAGTGTTTCACACTGTACCGTGTTAACAAGGGCAAAGGGCAGGTGCGTGTGCGTGTGCACAGGTATGTGTATGCATGTACATTTATGAATATGCATAAAGTGCCTCTGGGAAAATATTTAAGAAGCTGGTGACCCTGGCTGCCTCTGGAGAGGGGGACCGGGTGGCTGCAGAGTGGGGGTGGGAGACCTTTCACGGGGTGCCCTTTGGTACCTTTTGAATTTGAGCCATGAGAACTGTTAACTATGCACAATAACTACAGTGTAAGAAGGCCAGCATGTGATCACTCTCGTGGGAAGCAATGAGAAGCAGGAACGTTAATTCTCCCTCGTTGCCGATGGAGTGGCTGAGGCCGGGGCCGGGGTCAGCCCAGCAGGCCTGGCCTCACGCAGTCTCCCCGGGCAGGTACCACAGCATGACGCGGCAGCTGCTCCGAAAGGCTGACGGTGTGGTGCTCATGTATGACGTCACATCCCAGGAGAGCTTTGCCCACGTGCGCTACTGGCTGGACTGTCTCCAGGTGAGCAGGTGGTGGCGGAGGCTGGCCCCAGTTTCTGGAGTCAAGAGGGAACGTGTATCCTGCCCACGCTCCCTTTCTCCCGGGATTACAGATGCTACAATAGACATGCAGGTGATGCAGCTCACGGAGGGCATGTGACTGGGTGGCCTGGGAGTCGTATCAGGGAGCCACAACCACACAGTACAGCTTCCAAAACAAACTTCTTCCTCTGTCCTACGAACATTTCTTTCTTACATACAGCAGCTCTGCGAGGTCTCCTTAACCCCTGGGGATGATGCAATTCTCGTACCACTTTAGGTGGTACTTCCTCTGTCCACACATCTCTAGTTCTCTCCCCATGTACTTAATTCATACATATATGCTGAAATTATGCAGTATGTGCCAGCACAACAGAGGGATATGAAGTAAGACATGTAGCCTTCTTTCTAGGAGTTTCTAGTTGAAGAGATGCAAAAGAAGTAAGATAAGGTCAGAGACAAAGGCAGCTGGGCTCTGGGGTCAGACCAGACCCAACTATCCCACCCCAACTCAGCGACAGCCTCTCCGAACTTCACTTTCCCGGCTTCTCTCGTAGACTTGTGAGGGTTAACTGACATCATCGCGTTCAGCACAGCACCTGGCAGATAGTAAGCACTCCGTAAATAAAAGCTGTTATTATTATTATCCATGAAACAATTAGGAAAAGAACCAAGACACCCTGTGTCAGCGAGCACTGGGCTGTTGAGCACAGGCAGGAAGAGAGGGGCATGGGTAGGATCAATCCAAGAAGGCTGCCTGGGGGAGGGAGCTTTGAGGTTGGCCCTGGAAAATGGGTGACATGTTTGCAGGCAGATAGGAGGGGCAGCCTCACTGCAGATGGAGGGGAATTGCCCAGGTGGGAAGGTTGTGGAGTGAGGGTGACAGGGAAAGATGGGTGTCTGTGCCGGGAGGAGGCACGCTGCCATCTTCCCGGAGGTCAGGGCCACGTCCACCCAGGGCCTGGCACACAGCAGGCGCTCAACATGTGTGTCTGAGGGAATGTGCTCCGTGTGCAGGACGCGGGGTGTGTTGGAGTGGTCGTTCTTCTCCTGGGAAACAAGATGGACTGTGACGAGGAGCGGCAGGTGTCCACCGAGGCTGGGCAGCAACTGGCCCAGGTGAGCACCTGGGTGTGGTCTCTCCCCAGCCTGGACCGGGCTCACCCCTCCCTGGAGGACAGTGAGTAGGTCACCCTGGCCTGGGCATCCAAGAAGGCCCCATTGCCCGGCCGGCGTGGCTCAGTGGTTGATCATCGACCTATGAACCAGGAGGTCACGGTTTGATTCCCGGTCAAGGCACATGCTGGGGTTGCAGGCTTGATCCCCAGTGTGGAGCGTGCAGGAGGCAGCCAGTCAATGATTCTCTCTCATCATTGATGTTTCTCTCTCTCTCTCTCTCTCTCTCTCTCTCTCTCCCTTCCTCTCTGAAATCAATAAAAAAAATATTTTTTTTAGAGAGAAGGATCCATTGATCATTTCTGCCCCTGCCCGGCCAAAGGCCAGTTCCTTCCTCTCTGAAATCAATAAAAAATATTTTTTTTTGAGAGAAGGACCCATTGATCATTCCAAAGGCCAGGTCAGAGTGGACAGCAGCCTGGCCACCTCTGCCTCCCACCCAGCCCAACCTTAGACCCAAACATGAGTAATGGTGGGCACGGCATTGAACCTCACTGCTGAATTAGCAGATCCACACCCAATGTCCTGACTTACGTAAAAAATAGCTTCAGAGTAAAAAGGTTTTAAAAGCTTCACTTAAAATTCCTGATCGAATCTTAATTTTATCTCTGGCCTCTAATTAACATAACGTTCCTTCTAATTTATTCTATTTTAAGACTCAAATTCTTCCCCAGGAAGATTAACATCAAAAGCCCCACCACCAGACAGTGGTTACTATTTATTTATGAATAGAAGTTGACTAGATTCCAAAAAATCTGGAGAATAATAACGAAAACATAAAAAAAAATAAAAAGAAGCCACTCCTTGCCCCACCTCTGCCCCACCCCTGCCGGCATTCTCACACTGCGTCTCCCTCCCGTCTCTCCTCTGGTCTCGTCCCTCCTGCTCGTGAGCTCATCGCTGAGGCGCCTGCGGGGTGGGAATGTTTTTCTCTTAACTAAAAGCAGTAGCTCATCTCTCTGACACAGTAATTCCTCCTCTAGCAATTTACCCTAAAAGAAGCAGAAATAACAGCCCCTAGAGAAGAATGAGATGGCCCCCCATGTACAATGTGTAATCAGACATGTTTATAGGAGGATGGTCTTCACAGTGGTATTTATAAGGAAAAGCACCGGGCAGCAGCCGGTAGTTAAGCTGTGTAGTTCCTGTGAGAGGCTAGCATTTGCCGTTAGGAGCCCTGCCC